AGAGGAGGAGGTTGGTTACTCATTTTTCTTGCGGTCATCTGTCTACCTGGCATTCCCGATGGGGGTGTTTGAAACATTGGGATGGTATGGGAAAATTGGATTTTCCGATATCATTACAAAATAAATTTATCTCAATTTTCCAGAAATAAATTTATCATTTCTATTTGACTATTTTCTATACCAATAAGCATGAAAATAAATTCATGGTTTATTTGTATGAAAAATGCACTCCATTTATTATTTCTGGTGGATTGGAATCCCGAAAGCAATATTTTCTTCTAATTTTTTGTTTTTTTTAATTTTTTTCCTTTTTTGGAGTTTTTTGTTTTTTTATTTTTTTGATTCTTCTTTATTTTTTCGATTTTTTACGATTTTTTTATTTTTTCGATTTTCCGATTTCTTCCGCTTCCTTAGGAGGAGGAAGCTGCAGCGGGGAGGAAGCGCAAACGATCCGCAAATGAGGGAGGTAAGTCACTTTTGCTTTGTATGGAATTCTGTTTGGAATGCCATGTTCGCTTTATAGTAGTGATTCCACCTGGTTTCGGGTGTACTTATATGAAACTAGTCATATTTTCATTGGAGTTTCACGCCCCGTTTTATGTGAAATGGCGTAATATTCGGTGAAAACGCGATATTCGCGGTGATATGCAGTAGTCGCTAAATATGTTTTTCACTAGTGTTTTTCATATCACTAGGGTGGAACTTCATTTTTCTCTCAGAGAAGCGCACGAAAGCGGCAGCCAAGAAGCGCTCTAAGGCTGTTGAAGAGGATAACTTCATCAACGACGAGCCGAGCTCATCTGGTAGGACACATTCAGAATTGAGGTTCTGTAGATTTATGGTTTTCATATTGTGCATAGTCAAGTAGTCATCTGTATTGAATCATTTTAGATTCTGAGTCCTCTTCGAGTTCCTCATCGAGTAGTGAGGAGTCTGATAACGATGCGGCCTCGGGTTCTGCAAGCAGTGGCGCTGAAACAAAGCGTGATAAGAAATCTAAAAAACGTAAGTTTCATCAGTTGGGTATTTTATGGGAATGAGTTTCCAATTTCGTGGCTTGTATGGTATACTTTTTATTGGTCCGGAGTGATTCTCACGCCGTAGGTGAGCTCAAGCGCAAGAAGCGTCGACTGCGAAAGCGAACCGAAGATGAAGATGTTTCAGCGGCGGCTCCTCGGCAGCAGACTGATGGGGAAGTGCTCGAGGAGCTCTTCGGTGATGTCGATATCTAATACCTCCTACGTGCTGGATTTACTCCAACATTTGCCGAAACATTTCCGAAGTCCCAGTGTGTTATTGTTTGAATATGCAGAGAGCTGTGGGTTGTTTTAGCTGTCTATCTCATCGCTCGACTATAGTCAGTGTGCAGGGGCATGCAGTGCTCGATCTTCTTCCTTCATGTTCGACTTTGACGGTTATGTGCATGGAGTGGTAGGAAGTACAAATTCACGAGCTAAGAGCGCATGCCCGAGTTGTACGATAATCCTCGAGTGTTGCGGTTATTACCCGTATGTAGTCGTTGGTCCATCTGGACTGTTGTTGAGGGAGATGATTTGCAATACCGTAAGTCCAATAGAGTTTTGGTGTCTCTTTGAGTCGGTCCCCGACTATGCTGCAGTCCCTGGGATCAATCACTGTAATGGTAGAGCGAGTAACAATCTATCGCTACTGTTCTGATCTTCTCAGCTGCATAGGATTGGCTTGGGGTCTTCTGTAGATTCTAGAGAACAAATTCGCAAACTCGACCTATTTTG